TGTCGATGTAAAAGTTGTTAGCTTGACTTCGATTGAGTCCAGGCATTTCGTGTTCAAAGAAAGCTATCCACGAATGTCGCACCATAGCCTCGGAAACCCTTTCAAATGGGACTGTATTATTTCGCCGAATAGTTTAAAAGAAGGAATCATTCCTATGAATTGAAAATTTCTAAAAATGTAATAAATTCATTGTTTAAAAATGTCCGAAATCAGTACAACTTGAAAGAACTGGTTATGTGCAAAAGAAGGAAGCATTACATTTTAGTAGCTTGCCTGGTAGAAAAAATCGAACTTTCTTAATCTTTTTTCGAGACTGATTTCAAAATTTACTGAGCTTTGAGAAAAAAAAGTTCACCCTAATGGCAAAAAAAAAATACAGGTCTTATATTTACGATTTGGAACAAAACTACCAAATTCTGAGAACCACTACATCGTTTTGCTATGGAATGGACGTATTGATATATTTTTGTAAAAATAAGTCCCGTAACTTGGAGCCTTCGAGGAACCTGGAAGTCGTGGAAAGTCCTTGTCAAAATCTAATGGAAATTTTTTCCAAGATAACTTAAGAGTGAATTGGAAAGGGTTTCCGAGGCTGTGGTGTGACATACGTAAATAGCTTCCTTTGAACACGAAATGCCTTCCCTCGCCAATCTCAGGGTCAGGCTGAATATGAAAACGAATGGGGGGGAAATGTCATGATATTTTGACGTAGGACTACGTCTGTGATTTCTATATGGGGGAAAATTTTGTGAAAACCGAAATAGAACATGTAACAAAATTATGAAAGATTTTGTATATTAATAACTCAGCTGCCCCTGGACCAATTCCAATAATTTTATCACTTATCGATCAGAAATATTTCTACGCATCTGTAAAGGTTAAGACTTTATCATTTCATTTCATTTCATTTCAAAATGTCTCTATTGATAATTGTATCAATGTGCAACTGTTCATATGATAATTAATTGCCTGCGAATAGCAATTTCCCTAACACAGATTTCAAAGTTGAATTCCATCCGGTCTCTTATTATGTTAACCGCGTGGTGAGTGGTGTTCTCCAATACACAACGAAAGGCTGCTTGCAAGCAGCGAGCTGCAGCCCACATGAGCATCCATAGAAGGAGGAAGAAGCCGCACCGCTATTGATCGGAATCAGTAGCTCTTCGTGAGTCGCTGTGGGCCATCCTTGTTAAGCTCTGTTAACTCTTATGACGATAAGAGTATAAATAGAGAGAACCCCGCTCAAATTCTCATTCCTTCACAAAACACAAGCTCCTGCTGCAGTTAATAAACAGTCCTACGTCACCTTTGCTTACAACCCCTTAGGGTTGTCCCTTGTAGTTTATTCCCCATATGATTTATTTCTATGACATTTACCACCTCTGCTCCAGATGCACCAACTTCACAGCCAGAACAACGTAACGCCTGACTCCACGAGGAACATCACTAGTTTGATGATTCTGCTGGCTATTGCTTTCGTCGATCATCAACTTTGATGAATAGATTGCCTTACGATAATGTAGAGTAGTTATTTCTCTGTTCGTGTATCAATCTAAGCGTCTTTCCTCTCATCGTTGTCCCAATCCAGGCCCATTTTTTTGTGTTTCGTTACAGTTCTGCCATCAACAATCTGTACTCTGTAGGGCGATCCAGAACACTTGTCTGTCACCACAGTGCATCACCCACGGTGAATCCTCCAAAGTCAGCAATACAACGGCGATGGAGATAAATATATCTATAGCATCCTAGTGTACCTGTTCCTTGATCCCATCCGTACCTGTTAATAAATTGTAGCCCTTAACCTCGAGTAAGTCGCGAGTATGCGCCCCCTTCAAATTGCATCACGGGAAAAACGCTGCCGAAAATTACACATTGGGTATTTTCTCTTGAAAATTTGGGTAGAAGTAGTTTAGAGTGTATTGTTTACGCTGTCATTTTTTCGATAGTTGGAAAAAATGGCGTCACCCGAAAAGCAACGTCGCGAATCGATTTTGTGCAAGCACCTGGAAAATCCTCAACGAACGGGACATCGGAAAACAACTCGGAATCGTGCAGTCAACGGTGAGTCGTATGATTAAACATTACTACGAAACTCTGAGCATTGAACGGAAGCGTTTAAGCGGAATTCCAATGCTTCGGTCAGGGATGTGGCCAAAAAGTTGAATCTGTCCAAGTCTTTCGTCCAAAGAGCCAAGGACCGGGAGGGACTGCATACGTACAAAGTGCAGAAGGCTCCAAATCGTGAGAAACGCAAAATACGGTGGGAAAGTCACGGGCCCGGAAACTGAATACCCAGATGCTGACGAAGCCTCATTGTCTCATCATGTATGATGAGACTTACGTCAAGGCGGACTTCCGGCAGCTTCCGGGGCTACTGTTCTTCACCGCCCAGCACAAGTTTGATGTTCCGGAAGAAGTAAAGAAGTAGAAACATTCAAAGTTTGCCAAGAAATACATGATTTGGCAAGCGATCTGCTCATGTGCCAAACGGAGTGCGCCGTTCGTAACTACCGGGACTGTAAACGAGGATATTTACCTCAAAGATTGTCTGCAGAAGCGTCTGCTTCCTCTGTTGAAGCAATACGAAGGCCTACGATCTTCTGGCCGGATCTAGATTCTTGTCACTATTCAAATGTTGTCCTGGAGTGGTACGAAGCCACCCCGAGTAGCACACTTTCGTACCCAAAGCACATGAACCCCCAACGCACCGGAACTAAGGCCCATCGAAAAATACTGGTTTATTATGAAGCAGGCACTACGGAAGCATCCCAAGGAGGTCAAATCTGGGGAAGACAGAAGAAACTGCAGCCAGATGTTGTACAGAACCTAATGAGTGGAGTTAAGCGTAATGTGCGAGTGTACGGTTATGGTATTGAAGTTGAATGAAATAAATTTTCCAAAAGCTTACTAATGGGCTATATTTTATTGTCTGAAAGTTTGGAAAGGATCGGTCAACTAGGTAATTTTCTACACCGTTTTTTTCCGTGATGCAATTTGATGTGGGAGACCCTTTAGAACGGCGATTTATTTTGTGTGCAGAAACCGGAAAATGTTTTTTTTTTAACTCTTTATTTGTTCCAAATTCATAATAAATTACATTTCATTTTTAACCTAGGTGCTCCAGTTACTGCAGTAACGTACCAGCCTTAATTGTTATGATATATATCTAAGTGTTTTTACATTGTTCATGTCTTGGCAATTAAGTATTTTAAACAGGTTTTTTAACCTGCATGTCAGTATATCAATTGATATCTTAAAACTAAAAAGTAAAACTAAATCTTATCTAAGTATAAAGGGAATTAATCGTTGCAATTGAGGATTGTAACGATTTTTGCCTGAAATTATTAATTATTTTGTTGGACATTTGTTCTAAAGTCTCAACATTCGAAATTCTATGTACCTCGGTAGTACTGTACCAGGGAGGCAACTTCAAAATCATTTTCAGAACTTTGTTCTGAATCCTTTGAAGTGCTTTTTTCCTGGTAGTGCAACAACTAGACCATATTGGCACAGCGTAAAGCATGGCCGGTCTAAAAACTTGTTTATATATTAGAAGTTTATTCGTCAGGCAAAGTTTGGATTTCCTGTTTATAAGAGGATACAAACATTTAATATATTTGTTACATTTGGCTTGAATGCCCTCAATGTGATCTTTAAAAGTTAATTTTTGGTCAAGTATTAATCCAAGATATTTCACTTGGTTTGACCAGGAAATTGGAACTCCGTTCATAGTGACTATGTGACTACTACTAGGTTTCAAAAACGAAGCTCTAGGCTTATGTGGAAATGTTATAAGTTGAGTTTTGGAAGCGTTGGGAGAAATCTTCCATTTTTGTAAATAAGAAGAGAAAATATCTAAACTTTTCTGCAGTCTGCTGCAAATAACACGAAGACTTCTTCCTTTAGCGGAAATGCCTGTGTCATCAGCGAACAAAGATTTGTGGCAACCCTGAGGCAAATCAGAGAGGTCCGAAGTGAAAATGTTATACAATATAGGCCCAAGAATGCTACCCTGAGGAACTCCTGCTCTAACAGGTAGTCGATTAGATTTGGAATTTTGATAATTTACCAGCAGAGTTCTGTCAGTTAAATAATTTTGAACTAATTTCATAATATAAAGTGGAAAATTAAACTTTTTCAATTTAGCAATCAAACCTTCATGCCAAACACTGTCGAATGCTTTTTCTATGTCTAGAAGAGCAACCGGAAAATGTTGATTTTTACGAATTGAGGACCTTTCTGAAACAAATATTGGGTACAGGTGCTGGGTCATTTTTTTGACGCTACAACATAAAATATCCCTAATAAAAATTGTATGGTTAATTTGCTTAACGACGTGTTCTTGGTATCATCCAAACCATTTGTGGAATAGTTCAATGATTTGGGTTATCGTTCGTTTATGGTTATTTTTTATTAGGGATTGTTTTCTGTTTGCGCTTCCTAAATCGATATTTTTGGAAAAAGGTTCAAATCTCCATACATTATTTTTCCGGTTTATTCTCCGCCTTCGCAAAGTGACGCCATGCTGTCAGTAGTTGTGAGATTAAAACTGACAGCATGATGCTACATTGTAAAAAATACCAAGTCTTCCACTTTCTTCAGACAGTTCCGGATATATTAAAATTGAAAATGATACTTTTATTCAAAGAATCTAAAGCACCTGGTGATTAATATCGTCCTTTTCACGCCATCATCCTGGGTCCATTAATTACGACCCTTCACGTTTTGGCCAGCACACGACGCGACGACGACGATCGGCAGCAGTGTCAAGCAATAACGGAGCCCGCAACAGAATAGTCCTTGAAACTGAACCTAGAACACGCGCTGTGGAGGACGAGAAAGGACAAACCTTGCTTTTGGCAGAAAATGGAGTCCCCTGGTCGCTGGATCCATTCAAGCTCAAACTCGAGAGTTGGGAAATGAAACAGGGCAGTGAGTGCTATAAAACAGAACTCAGCACCGGGTGCACACTTTAGTCGGCAGTGAGCGGCCGCCGGGAATAGACGTCTTTCTTTCTCCGTAAAGGTTTTCGCGCTCCCCCGTCGTCCGACCGTACCCGTGGATTCATTCTGTCGATGCTCACGCATGAAACGACCAGAACGTGCTTCGAGAATTTTTATCCGTTTGCTCAAATTCGGGTGGTGCTGTTTGAAGCTTTTGGGCAGTTGTGGTTGCCCTCCTGCTGGTGACGGTGATTTTTGGGTAAAAGGGTTTGTATCGAATTAAAGGAAGGAACTGTTACTGCAGGAATGGGAAATCCATCATTCATTCGGTTTGAAACGCGTAGGTGATGCGGAAAAACAAACGAATACGAATGGTGCCCTCCCCCGCCCGTCCGTTGACGGCTTTAACGCATGGAATAATGGATGGCCACCCGGCATGAATATTCAGTGTGATAGGTGGGAATAGTGACTGTCGGAAGATTTGTGAAGATGGTTGCTTACAAGTGTTCTACGGTGTTTTTTTACGAGTGAAGATAAGATAACAGCTACGGAAGGATTGTGATTAGTGTACGGAGGCGAGCAGTTAGGATGCGGATTAGCAAGGATTTAGCCTGGAGTGGTGGGTGGGGTGGGAGTGAATCTTAAGCATTATGACCGAGCCGCAGTGTGCGATGGGAATGGGCCTGTCCGTGTGTGTATGCATGGAGGGAAAGTAGAAAATGTAAAAGAGTAAACTGTGGCCGTTCGAGAAGAAGGGTAGCATGGTTCTGGTTGGAAAATTTGTGCTTGTTTAATAATGCTGAATGGGCCGCATTGTCTGGGTTATGTGGATGAATGGTGAAAGAAGAAAAGTATTATATGCCAGAGGCAATTCGAGGCAGTATTCAGAGAAGTACAATATGAGTTGAATTACGGAGCGAACATTTTCATGCTGCATTGTAACGGGGACTGGCTGATGGTGATGCTAGTCATAAATTGTTGCCATGGTCCTAATCAGGTATATTATGCAATTTTGATGTAAAAGTTGATGCATAAACTTTGATATGGTGCTTGAAATATAACTTTATATCTATCCAGTTATATGCTGAAAAAGTTCAGGTGCGGTATACTATACCGGTGGTGGAAGGAAGAGTTGGCATGCACAATTGTTCGCACAAATGGCTCATTTGTTGATTTTGAAAAACAAAGTTTGAGGTACATAGAGGTACGTAAAGCTGTTCGCATTTTAGCGTCACAAAACGAAAAGAGAAACAATCGCTGCTCTTTTCGGACTTTCAATGAACTGATCTGAAATCTCTGATCTTACTGCATCATTTGCTTAAAGTAAAACCAAGTTTCATGAACTGAGTGCCAAGTTATTAACAAAAGAGCATGCCCTGGTGGCAGGTTCGGATCCCGGTGCGGACTGATGGTACAGACAGGGCTGGATTTACGTTTATGGGCGCCTGGGGCCAAACATATGAGGGTGGCAGGGCACCAATGTTTTTCAGTGATTAATTTTCAAGTATCATTCATTTCAAGTAGTTTGAATACGCTTCTAGACTTTCTAAGTTGAGCTCCAATTCAGAAGGATTGATATTTATTTCAGACCGAAACCAAAAGCAGTGCATTACCAGTTGGAGAGTTAATAAGCTGATCATTTACTGATTGGGTTTGATTTTCCTTTCCTTTCAATTTAAATGGTTGCATAGAGATTAGAGAGTTGAAAAGTACGTTTTGCACTTGTGTATGTTCTACATTGTAATTTTCATTCACAGAAATTACCCACGAAGTCTTTATGAGAATAATTAGTATTTATTGTATAAATCCATCTGACATCGTGGTCTTAATGAATAAAACTTAACTAAAAAAAAAAAACTTTAACACGTTGTACAGAAAAAAACAAAATAATTCTGGTCGATTCCGTAGGCGGTTTCGAAAGACGTTGGTAGAGATATTGAAGTCAAACAAGCTGTAATTGTCTTGGAGTCTTCGACTTATCGAATCGATGGGATTGTTGAATCCGTACTGTGTTCGTCTCGTTGGCTGGCGCAATAGCTGTCTAAATCGCAGCACTCGTTGAGGGGCGTAGATGTTGAGCTGACTCAGCAATGCAGGGCAGTCTATTTCGGAGCGTAAAATTTTGGCTCCTAAGATAGCTTGGCTGAACTTCCGTCTATCCACTAGCGGTTCAATACCAAGCAGCGCACAGTGGTGCTCGTAGGGTGGTAGTCGTAATGAGTCGGTCCATGGAAAGCCTCGTAGAGCACATCTCACAAATTTCCGCTGCACTGATTCGATTCGTGAAATCCACACAGCATCGTACGGAGACCAGACGGCAGAAGCAAATTCAAGAATTGATCTAACTAGCGAGCAATACCGAGATCGCAAACACAGAGGGTCATCAAATTCGTTCGCTATCTTGAGAAAAAATCCAAGTTGACGATTTGCTTTATCAACTATTTCCGAATAGTGCATTTTGAATGTGAGTTGATAATCGAGTACCACACCCAAGTCTTTAACATGATCAACCCAATTCAGTACAGTGCCATTGATAGTATAGTCATGTAGGATAGGATTTCTCGTTCTTCGAAAGGATATGATACAGCATTTGGACACACTGACTGCTAGATGATTCAGTGCACACCAACTGACAAACAAATCTAGCTGTTGTTGCAATTGACGGCAATCATTGGTGCTCCTAACAACCAGGTAGATTTTCAAATCGTCTGCGTAGAACATTAGCCAGCAATTCAGAAGAACGTGGGACACATCATTGAAGAACAACGCGAATAACAGCGGCCCCAAGTTGCTCCCTTGCGGCACCCCACATCGAGGAATGAAAGGTGCAGACACGGCTGATCCAATTTTCACGAACAATTGACGGCCAGTCAAATATGATCTCAGCCAACTACAAATTCTCGAAGATGCTCCAGCTTAGTCAACAGAATATCGTGATTAACTGAGTCGAACGCAGCCTTTATGTCAGTGTATATGCTTAGTGATGACTGAACGTTGCGGAAAAAATCCATGCGTAGATGTTGAAATGTACGTTTTACAGGCCTGGAACATAACATCATTGAGAATTATCTCAAAGCATTTGCATCCGGCAGGCAACGAAGTTATTCCACGATAGTTCGACACATCCAATTTACTGCCTTTCTTGAAGATAGACTGCATGTATGACATCTTCCAAGCGATTGGAAGATGCTGGCTTCGAAGAGAGAGGTTGAATATAGCTTGCAGAGGTATAATCAACATGCCACTACATTTTTTCAATATGCACGCAGGAATACCGTCCGGTCCAGGTGATACAGATGATTTCAGCTTCTTCAGTGCATTCTCCACCATCGTCTGATTAACATCGAAAATATCAATGTCGAATGCGTCCACGGGCAGGGACCTTGTCGCAGTTTCAACGTCCGATGGAGACGCAGTTGATGCCTGAAAAACACTCGCAAATCGTGCAGCAAATAGTTCGCATTTGGCTTCTGCGGTGGAGGCAGATTGATCTTCCATGCGCATGGTAGATGGAAGGCCGCTTACATTTCGCTTAGTGTTTACAAAATTCCAGAACTGCTTAGGATTTCTTCGCAGATTTTCCTGAACATGTCTTACGTATCTGCCGTACTAGTAACGGTTATAGCTCCGATAGTTGCGACTAGCTCGTGAAAACACCAGTTTAGTGATGCCATTTTTGCGTGCCGAAAAGCATTTAAGCATCTTAGATCGAATACGTCGAAGGTACTATAAGCGAAAATTGGACCAAGCAGGTTTTCTCCGAGGTCTTGACAACGGAACACAGAATGTGAAGCAATCGCGCAGTATACTGATGAAGCAACTAACAGCATCATCTACGCTCATGTGATGAACTAGCCTACGGCTAGAAATCACAAAAATAAAGAAAAAAAAAATCATCTACGTTGCTACACCGACAAACAGTAGACCAATCAACTTGAGAAAGCATAGAGTTGAGTGCGTCATAATCAACATTACTAAAGTCACGATCATGTTCATCGACGTTCTCAATAAATGGAAAGATTGCTGAACAATACACCGTGAAAACAAGAGCTGGATGATGAGGATCGATATTCACAACCGACTCCAGGGCCTCATCAACTGAACTGCAATCTGTCCAGTACAAAAGAGCGGTGTTCTCAAATCTTCGATTATTCTTGTCCTTATGAGACTACTTATGAAATGTTTCAATGGGTGATCTTGAACAAATTTTCTTTTTGTTTTTAATTTTTCTACACGAAAAGATTAAAAGAGAAGTAATCTCTTAAAACATTGCTCAAATAGGCCCATATTTTTATATGCAACTTTACAAAAATCAAAAAGGAGAATTTACGTATTCTCGTCAATTTTAGCAACGTTCGCACTTCTATGAGAATTTTCTCAGCGTCACGCACACATAAAACGTGTTTGTTTGTGTACCTTTATCTGCTGCTTGCTACTCTATCCATTCCAATTGATTTTTTTTTTCAAAACTGCATATTTGAAAGCGTTTTTACAATGCTTCAAACTACTCAGCTGAGTGTGGCTATTGTCGGCAGCCCTCTTTTCTTCGGAAACCTTTCCATTTGAACTGTGTGTTAACCAGCTGTTCTGTTATCGGCAACTCGAAATCAGACGCATTTTGTAGTGCGCATATTTAATTTAAAGAAAAATCTGGCATACCAGAGCTGCTCAGTCGTAGGAAAGTAATCAGATTGAAGCTGAAAGACTAAGGAATCAGCGAAGTGGTTTGAAGGGGAAATACAGTGACAATAATGTTTAAATTGTGGTTGCCAAAAACAGTCAATGGGTGCCGAAGCCGACATTTACCCTAATCCGTTTACTCTAACATAACTATGATGAAAAATAATGTCAGACTAAAATGGGTTTTCAAAAATACTTCTTCCAAGCGTAAGGGGCTTTGCTGCAATGATTGAATCTCTAAATACATTTTCTGTTTTGTTAATAGTTCGGCTGAGATAAAATATTTTGGAATTCTTGCTATAAAATTAGTTTGGAGTATTTACCTTTCAGCAGCAGATGACGCAAAAATAAGATCATTGGTGGTCATATTTAGTACTCAGGACTACGTTGGCCAAGCATGTACCCCCGTAGAAGTGGTTAGATTCATATTGGTTTAACACCTACATGTGACACATCAAATTACATGAGAATTCAAAAATATGATCATTGGTGGCTATATTAAGTACTGAAGACCACGTTGGCAGGATCCGGATGTGTTACTTCGAGTAGCACATTTCCGTCACAATGAGTTGCAGCAACTTGTTTAT